TGTCCTAACAGGCTTTCAGTAGCATAGTGACAGGAACTCATTTCTGTTTCTATACATTTCTGGTCTTCTAGCAATGTACATAACAGTATATTTTCCTTTGCATTCAGATTTTTTTTCTTTGTGATTTATCCAGTGTGTCACTTCCTCCTTTGCAGTCTAGTTCTGGTGGTTTTGCTTTATATTCTTAAGTTTTGTTCCAGTATCCTCCCATATACTACCCTTCCTTTAAATTGCAACCTGCATCAGACCCCTGTTCTATTTTCTCTTCTTTTGGCCTGTTAATTTTTTCTGGGGTCTTCTTCTACCTTGACAAATTTAATGGGAGTGAATAGAATACTTATGCCAAATTGAATGGATGGCAATCTTCAAAAAAACCCACAAAATAACTCTCCAATAAATGCTAATTAGTGCTTATTTTCCAGTGATTTAAATTACTATTTTGTTCCTGGTCAATATTTTAGCATTTAAAAATCTCTAAAATTTAGACTTTCCTAAATAGTGAACACAAAGAACATTTTTATTCTAAAGATTGTACATGTCCTCAAGTGCTGAAATAACAGTGTGCAAAAAATTTAAGTGCAAACTGATGTCAAAATAGCTGTTTTCAACCTCAATAAGAGTTCTCCAGATATTTACTGAAGAGCTTTCTATTTTTTCATCTTAGTCAGGAAAACCTTCCTGAATTCTTTTTTCCTCCAGGTAAATAAAGACAAGGGCAGAGGTAGGAAGGCAGTCTATTTTAAGTTTCATATGGCTGCTAGATTTGCAATTTAGGCTTTTAAACACTATCAGATTTGTTCTGTGCAAATATGGTCTGTGAGTTAAAAGATAAATTGTGACTTCAGTATTTTGGGAATTCGTGTCATCATGTGGTGTAATTGTCAGGCTCACATAATGAAGACCTTAATTGAAACTTTTGTAAAACTATGAAGCTTTTTGGATATTTAATCAACAGCACTGGTATACCTTAAATACTTGACTCGGACATCAGGGTTTGGAGGGCTTTATATTTGTCCTACAGTTTTGTCCACATCCCTTTCTGCATATGTCTTTGCAGGGTACTCAAAAAGAAGACTCATTTTCAGGTTTTAAAAACATCTCTCATCTGACTTAACTAGAAGACTATGATACTTAGATGTCATGAATTTCTTAGAAGTGACATTAGCTTCATACTTGTTGCTAATTAAAACCTTCCCAATTACCCTGAGAAATATCAGCAGCACATTAAGTCTTTTGAGTCATACTTTTCCTTGGATATTTTCAAATTGCACTTCTCCATGTTCACTTGCAAGATCTTAATATTTGTAATTGCTGTATGGAAAACAGCAGGTGCTTGTCTGTCTCAAATAGCTAAGTGTATAGATTTTTAATCAGCTTATATTGATGAAGTGAAATTTAAATGAAAGAAGGTATTTTTAGAAGAATAATTTTGAGCTGAGTACTCTGTGTACTGTGAAATATTACTACCTTGATCATGGTAGCATGCTATGATCTAATGAGCATGACCCTATGTGCATGACCCTGGCTTAATGAGTTTTGATTGGACATGGGTTTTAGTTGCTTTGCCATCTGCACTTTTTTTCCTGCATTCAAAATTCAGCATGAAGTTTACAGGTGTAGCAGTTGAGTTCACAGTTAGTCTTTCAGCTTGGACAGTCTGCTCAGTTTCCAGGGTTCTGAGCATTAAGTGCAATAGAAACACTTTGCTTATTTTATTGTGGGCTAGATTTCTTTCTATGAAGTCTTAAACAAAAACCCAGGTGGACCTTGAGCAGATGAGAGCAGGCAGCTCTCAGAATAGCCAGGAAAACTAACATAGGAAGCCAGAGCAGCTCCTTGTTCTTCAGAAATTGTTTTGCCTAGACTTTCCCAAGTCTCAAATCTATATCATCTTTTCCATTTGGACTGATACAAAGTTTAGTTCACATTTTCACTGATCAGTTGTTCTATAGGAGGGTTTCTCAGATTGAATAATCCTCTTTCTATTTGAAATATTAATAAGCATTTTCTGGTATTTGTGGTTTTCATACCACATGCTTTCAGACACAGTAGATGACTTCAAATTGCATTCTAAAGAGGTTTGTGTTTTCTGTTGCAGAAGTCAGATGCTGTAAGAGTCACCACCTTCACTGGCTGCATGGGTGAAACCTTTCTAGACAGCAAACCCATAGGACTCTGGAATTTCAGGGATATCGAGGGCGACTGCAAAGGATGTGCTGTCAGGTGAGTAAAGCCTTGACTGTTTCTCATGCCTCTCTGGGGAGCCTGTCTGCAGTGACATTATGTTCAGTGGTAAGTACTAGGAATTTCCACAGCAACCATCAAGTTTGAGTCTGTAACAGAAGTTAGGTTGCAATTACACCACGAGGGGAAGCACCCAGCCTGGGTTGTAAATGTGATCTGTCTGTTACCAGAATTAAGACAGTGTAAGAGTGCTGTGATTGAAAGACTCTTCACAACCAGTAACCAGGATTAGTCAAAGCATGAGAACCACAGTGGGACTGAGCCTGACTCCTGTACAGCAGTGGTGTGGTGCCTGCACCTCTTGTGCATCATGGAGCAGAGTCAGGTGCCTCAAGGTGACTTTCACAGCCACCAGTGTACTGAGCAGGGACAAGAGATAGGTGCTTCTATTCTTGAAATAGAATGGGAAATCCTGTCCCTGTCAGTGATCTGTGTTTCCAGATCGGTTAAATGGCCCATCCAGACAGGACCAGGATTCACAAAAGTAGGTCAGAACTCTCTGGGAATTTTAAAACAATATAAGTTACTTCCTTTCCAGGTGGGTTCTTGTGCTTAGAGAGCTGTGATCTTCATCCGTCTTTCTGACAAAACTAATCCCAAACACTTTCCTGTGCCATGTCTGTTTCAGAAGCTGAGGACCCTTAAATACAGGGGCACCAGCTGATACTGCAGCACAGTCCTTGGAATTATCGTGTTAAAAAGTCAGACTCCAGGTCTCTCACATTCTCATTTATGGCTTTCACAGTGACCCACTGCATGAAAGCACTATTCTCTTAGATGGTTTTGTTTCTAGCGAATGTTACAATATCATTATATGGTATAGAGCTTATGCTACATTTGGTAAAATAATTGTAGACCCAGTCAGGGAACTTAAGACTAGGCAAGTTTTCAAACTAGAAGCCTAGTCTGACATCCTTCTAAGGATGTCAAATGGTGTCAAATAGGCACATTCCCAGGGATGTCCTGTGCAGAGCCGAGTTGGGCTCAATGATCCTTGGAGTCTCTTGCAATTCTGACTAGTCTGTAAGGCTTAGTCCTTTGAAAGTGATAGAAATTCCAGTTACAAACTGAAAAAATTTTGGAACTACCAGATGATTTCCTTGAGTACAACTGTAGACCTACAACACTTAGGTGAAATTTTAAGGAGTATGATGATGAGTTTATGCCTTTCAGTTTCAAGAAAGTTGTAATGGAAAAGCCTAAGCCTTTATGTGCATCTCTGTCTAAATTTAACCACAAAATTGTTGTCCTGCAGCTGTCTGATCTGTGTGACGGAAATGGACAAAGAGTCTATCAGCAAAATCATATCAAACAAATTCAAGGCCTGATATTTTCTGTTTTGTAATTACAGGAATG